ACCGCGGTGAAAGGCCAAACACCACCTCGGCGGTGAGGAAAGGGTTTTAGTGGGTAAACAGCTTAGCTGGAGTCCCACACAACCCAGAGCGACAGAACACCAGCTCTGGGAGTGCATAAAAGAGCATTTCCCAAACCTCACAAAAAAAAAAGAATATTTTGAAAAATTCGGCAATACCCAAAAACACGAATATGATAATAGACACAAAAAAAATTTAACTTTTTTTGACGATCTCGTAATTAATATTTATTTAAATTATTTACAACTTAAATATTCACAATGAAGCAATGTAGAGATAATTAAAAAAAAATAATTAAGGGATTTATCATAAAAACCAAATATATCCAAAAAATCTAATTTTTCAGGAAATCAAAAAATCGTTTTGTTTTAAGGCCGTTAGTTATACCAATGTCTTTGGTTTATAAACGGGTAGTCACTAAACAGATTTAAAAAAAAAAGCGAAAGTATTTTAGGCTGGTTTGGTTCCTGTGGAAGATTTCGGTAATTTGTGTAGACATAAAAAGTAATCAAGTTGTTATCCAATTTTTTATTTATTAAAAAAGTAACATTATGGGAAAAATAAAGTCTTTATCAGACCTTCTTATTCACTTTTCGCAGCCTTCGTTACGAAGCAAATGAAGGAAGAGCGATTTGCCTCCATAATATCAAAATCGCTAAATTTGAACTTTATTCGCACTTTGGGAGAAACCCTCAATTGTAATCGAATTTTCATTAAGACTTTCGTATGCCAGTTTTCGGTGGTGCCAACAGAAATTTTTAGCTACTTTACTGTTGAGCCGAATTCATATTATTTGCAAAGTTCTTTATAAATAATATTTCTTTCCCGTAAAATTAATATTAAAAACGTTTTTTTATACAACTTGGCGACAGTTTGAAGTAGACAAGCTGTATATTCACAACAAATAAAACAGAACAAGCTTACAAGCGTATGTTTAAGTAAGATTTTCATGTTAAAAATAAATTATCCACATTGTTGAAATCCTCCCACCACCAATTGACTCACCTACAGTTATAAATATTTTATAAACTATATTGCAAAATTTATAGATTTCACCAAAATTAAAAGTAGTTTGTAGTTAAAACCAAATATTGAATAAATAATATATTGCAATGATAATTTTATAAAAATAATTTCCTTATTATTTTTGTTTCATACAACCAACTCACCTTTCAGATTTATTGATATGGGGTGAGCTTTTAGACAAAAAATTCTTTACATTTTTCGAACAACCACAAGGTAGACTGTCAGGTTTAATGGATAAAATTATTTAAAAACTTCCGTTAAAAAAAAAATTTCCGTTATATATAATTGCGTAAGAAACGCGTTGAAAAAACGCGTATAAATGCTGATAATTGAAATTTCAATTACTGATTAATACTCAGTAATCGTAATTAGAAAATTATTTAGTAGAAATGCCAATGACTATCGTCATAAAAACTATATTATCATAATATGAAAAAACGCGTAAAACTTAACTGTTAACAATCACTGCTTAAAATACTAAGATTTAATATCACTTTCTTCATATTTTGCACGCCAAACTTTAATTGATTTGTCTTGACTTCCTGTAGCTAGGATGCGACTATCCGTTGATATATCCACAGTATGAATTGCTCCTGAAGTAATTAAAAAATTATTAATAAATGTTGGGATTGAGTAGGATTATTTCGTCACTAACGTCTATAACTCTAGGGAAAATGGCAACTTGAACGGTCATTTTCAATGACCTAAAGCTTTCTTAATATAGAGGGTGTCCCGCAAAAATTGGCTGCCATCCGTAACTCGAAACATACAACTACAATTAATTCTGAAGATTTCAGATCATGTTAATGCGGCTCTGGTCTATACATAATAATATATTTAAAAAAAAAATGGCCCTGGGGTCGCAAAATCCGCTTATTTTAAAGCGAATGCCCTGTAAATTTAAGGTCTCCCAAATATTGTGAACAGTTTTTATGTATGAAGTTCTATCCTTATCTCTAGCGGTTTTAGTAACATTTATTATAAGCCTTAAAAAATGTGGAGTCTAGTTAGGCAAGTATGTTCCAGGTGCTACTTATATACAGAATGCTCCTAAAAAAATGTACATTTTTCCTTATAAAACAGTTTTCAAAGGTTTAAAACCCCATTCATTCTTATTACAATTCAAGTCTTATTACAATAAAATGCAAATATTTTCGAAACCGTTAGAGATAAGGATAAAACTTCATACCTTAGAATAAAGGCACGTGTTATTGCTAAAAAATTCAATGATTACTAAGGTTAGCGATGTTTTATGGAAAATAATAGGGTTAATTTCTTAAGAAAAGTTTAAATAATTATGTAATTATTGTAAAAATTTTAATAATTTGAAATCTGTTCATTATATTCATTGAAATCATTTCAGGTATAGACAAGTTAATGGAAAGTCTGAACACTGGGAAAAACTGGGGGTTTCAATTTCAGAGACGTTAGTTTTTCTAAGGTTTTAAATGGCAAAATTTACATTTTTTGCGAACAATCTGTATGAAAGTAAAACCTAATACATGCATGCCTAAGTAAATTAACACCTCTTTTTATGACTCTGCGAATTCTCATTGCACAACATTTTGTTACTTAGGCAGGGTATTGGTAACAACGTCAGAACCTTAAAGTGCTCAAAATCGGAGAGAACTTAAATTTATAGTAATATACAGGGTGTTTTATTTAAAATAAGCGACTTGACGTCTAATTCCGGTATAACCGGAATTGGCACTTTAATATATTTTAGGTGTACAGAGCAGAGCGGCTTTAGCAAGCCTTCAAAATTTCGGAATTATTGTATCAATATTTTTCAAGCTCGGTCAGCAATCCGTAATAGTGGGACACTCTGTATACCTGTATACTTCCGTCAATCAATTCTGCACCAGGTAGATAAAATAAATTACTTCGGAAATTTATCAATATCAACAATCGTTAAACTTTTGTAAACCAACTTATGTAAGAATACTTCCTAAAATCGGCATTTCTGTACAGTATAACTCAACCTTCGAAGAAACTTGTAATAATGGTAGTTTTTCGCTGTAATCCACGGCGAAAAATCACCCAATGGGTCAAACCATTTGTGTATGTGAATAAATTCATTTTTTAAATTCCATACCAAATTTATAAAAAATATTTTGAGGAAAATTACAGTCTGAAATAAACTGTGCCGACCACAGTTTTTAATGTATATGTGTTTTAATGTATATGTATTTATATATAGTTTTTAATATAACTGTAGTTTTTAATGTATATAATCAAAAGATTATATACATTAAAAACTGTAGTCTGGCTAAAAAGCCACTGATTCCTCTTCACAAAATCGATTTCTGAAGTGAAGCATTCTTCTCTAAGAAGCATGAGATTCTGTTAATGGGGAGATTGGTTATCAAATTTTAATTTACTGCTATAGGCAAAACTTGCCTTTTTACTTTTATTTTTTTATGCGATTGTCTTTGCGAATCCTAAATTATTGTGAAAAAATAAAGAACTCAGTTTTGGACTTCTTGAGTTCATTTCTAAGATTTAGTTACATCCGCTTTATCCACAAAAAACATATAAACTTTATATACTAATTATTTTTTGCAATATGTTCTCTAGACCAATTTTACACACGATACTTTACATACGATATTTTACAGAAGAATTTCATCACCTCATCTACTTCTTTCTAGAAAGAAAACTTGATGTATTTGCTTACATCTTAAGTTTTGCAAAGAACAATTTAAAAGAAATTAATTGAACGGATAGTGTTAGTCTGCCACATGATCTACGATACTATAAGTCTGTTAAATGACTATTTGACTGCTATTTTTAAACTTTGCTTAATAGCAAGGTTACAAATTGCGTCTTCAAGGACTAATACATTCGATAAATCAATTGAAAAAATCTGCGCATTTTCTAGTACATTTTCCAAGTAAACCTCTGTAATCTCTTTCTCTTCTTCAAGACCTAAAACAGCTACCGAAATTTGTTCAGTTATAAAACGAGTCAAATAATCAGCCTGCCGCACAACAATTACACAATACACACTATTTACATATTTACCTGAATGCGCCTGTACTTCCAATAAAATACGAACTGTAAGCATGTCCCATACTGACAATACGCCATTTCCACAACCAATAGCTAGTAAGTTCCCTTGCCATTTTAAGGAATTGACTCCAGACTGTAAAGTCTTTTTAAACATTGACATACCTATAATTAAATTAAATCCATATTAAATTGATTTGACTTACTACAAGGAATTTTATTACCGGTGGTAACTTCCAATATACAGAAGGTACCATTATCGGTCCCAACGGCGAGCTTCTGCCCATCTGGGCTATAAACTAGAGTATTTATTCGAGAAGTAAAATTTGTATACTTTTTATCAATTGTAAAATCGCACGTTTTCCAGATATAAATCTCTCCATCCACTGTTCCAACGGCAAAACGTGAATTATCACTAGAAGGAGATATTTGAAACGGGAACTTCAGATTACCGGGCTGACTTACGGATCGAAACATAAGCAACTGACTGCAGAGTTGTGATCTAAATGTTTATAAAGGCACTCTACAATAATATCATCCTTGGCCCCACTTACACCTCGCCATATTTTTACGGAACAGTCACCGCTGCCTGTAAGAAGCAAGTTCAATTTTATACCATAAGAAATGCAGGTTATTGAGTCTTCGTGGGCCATAACATCTCGCCATATTCTTCCGTAATCCATATCGTACAACAGCCTTAAACAATTCATTTTCTTATAAAACCTATTTTGTTGTTGTATTAAGTTGGTGTGAATTCGCTGGCCAATTTGTACCGATCAGAATGCCGAATGAGAGCGACCAGCGAACATCAGGCTCATGTTTAATAAATGTTTTATTAAGATTGTAGAGTCTCGGATTACCTGGAGTTTAAGTTTTAGTGTAGTGGCTACTTCAATTCCCTTAACTTGAAGTTTAATGAAAATGTAAAAAATGGAAGTTTATGAATGTATTAGGCTTATCTTCTTTGGAGAATATGACAGAACCACCACCAACACAATATTCTAACTTTTTATACTATTTATCGATTCCCCATAAAATATATCAGTAAAACCCAAACGACATTTAGAGAAAGACGAAACCCTGCACACTTAATTAAAACTGTACCACTATATTTGACTGAATTAATAGGTTGCCGTTAAAAATCTTACATTTGATTATCCCAACTTCCGATCACCAAAACATTGGAATCAGGTAGTTGCACACAGCTACTTAGGGGCATATTTCCAATTATAGCACTCCTGATTTGCTTGTTTTGTGTCAGAGAAAAAACTTTCAACTTGGAATCATATCCCACCGACGTTATTTTCTTACAATCCTCATTTATAAACAGGTGACTGACCGTATTCTTGTGAGTATTAAAACTCGTTACCAGTTCTAACCCAATTACAGATTGCCATCTATCTGAAACGTTTTCAAAATATTGCAATACGAATCAATAGAAAATAGTTGTGTGCGTTTCAATATTCAATTATACACAACAAAAGTTTATCTGTTTGTATCATTTTGGGCCTTTTTTATATGTATACTATATTACTTTACCCTTATGTTCTACACTTGCCCTGACTATTCCATACTTTTTATCATATCTTTTAATCGTGAAGAAGAATATACTTTTCCGTTCCAACCAAACTGCAATTTTATCTACTTTTCAAAGTTGCAGAAAATTACGATCAAGACTAGCATTCCAAGTTACCTGCTTCCTGCTCACCGAGAAACAATATCAAGCTACCTTTTTTCACCGAGATGAAAGTAAATACATTTTTTTTACTGTAAATACCATGACTTAGAATAAGGTTGTTCAACCATGGCTCATGAGCGAAAAACAATAAACGTAGACGTTAAATCCTAAAGCCAGAGTTTAAATGGACATCCTTGAAAACTTGAGATCGTGTAGAATGTGCTGGAGACAACGGAGTTTGTTTCCCCACGTTTCTTCCTTATTTGCGGCAGCGGTTACCGAAGCGATTGAGTCGCATAGAAATTAAACCGTAAGCAAGGGAATTTGTTCAAATTGACACTGCCTTATCAATTGCTTTAAATTGGATTGGACAGGATAAGCCGAATGAAGTGTAAGACCAGAATTAATAAAAAAATTTAAAATATCTGGATTTATATGGGTTGCATTAAATTATATTTAGGAAGAAATGTATGTAACAAAATTACACATTTGGAACACTAAGTGAAACATCAAACATGCTGTTGGTCCTTATACCTGGGCTAAACCGAAAATTAACCGAATCGATTAAGATTTATAAATGAAACAATATTTTATTCAAAAAGCGCGGATTATTTTGTAGCATCAGATCAAACATTTATTTAGGACTGTGGACAAATCACAAAAAAGCGATACAATAGACACTGTGACACATCAACAATATTTAGAATAAAATCGGGGAAATATTATTAAGTGGGTAGATTTAGACACATTTCGATTTTATGGAGGTTTAATATATTTTTAAGTGACTAAGCATCAATTGTTATTGATGCATAATGTGACAGATTGCTATTATTTTATTAAAATTTTGAACAAATTAAAACCAGGTTTTTGTAATTTCCCTTGAAAATTATAACGGACATAAAATGAGAAACCAGATTTTCATCTTTCAAAACAATATTTTGACTGAAAACTGCAAAAATATATGAACAAATATTGTTCATATAAGAATTTCGCTTATCAACCCCTTCCGATTTTATGTAAAAATGTGTCCTTTTTGTTGACATATCTGGGAAATTTTGAACAAAAATGTATTTTTAAAAGACACTGAGTGTTGCTACTTTTTGCTGAGAACCGCGTATAACAATTGGGATTATCTTGGTACGTCTTTAAAATTGCATTAAACGTTTTACATGTTAGGAAAACTCTGAATTGCTATGACTGTTCTCATCAACTCAACAACATTTAAATTAGATAACTAAGGTTGCGGCAATCTTTGGAAAAAACTAAGAATATTTACGCCATTGCGATGGAAGCAAATCGGTACCGTATGAAAGAGAATTGGTTGCTTTGAAACACTGATCAATAAGAGGCATACGTTTCATCACAAACGTGGCAGAAGCAGGATTTTTAAAAGACGACTAAAAGTGGCAAACCATCAAATGGAGTTTAAAGAAAAGACACACTTAGATACGCCCGTTTGGGCGGAAAGCCGAGAATTTCGGTGAATGCCTTACCAGAATTGGTTCGCAACAATGTTACGTTACGAGGTTCGACTGCAAGCCGAAAAGAGGCGTTAAAACTCGTATCCTTCTTACGATTAGAAACTGGCAGCGATTGGCAAGATGGTATGAATGCCCTAATTAATTTCTTGTAAAATAAACTCCAATTCTTTCAAACATTTCAAATCCCGTGGACCGAATTATCAGCTCCCTTGTCCCCAGCTACTTACCAAACTACATTTAAATTACATAGCTCGGTGATGGTAAGCTATGTTTACTTACCATTTAATAACGGTTCACTTTCACCAGTCTGATAAATTTCAGGTAAAATAGGAAGACCACGTTTCCTTTGGGGATGGGGAACAGTAAAAACCTGCTTTGGAATTTGTCCAAACTCCATTATTTGAACTTCGAGCGCATGCCTATCGTTTGGATCATCAATAGTTTCCAAATTAACATTACCTTCATAGCATAAGTGATAAAATACTAAAATAAATACGTATTTGGTACATACATTAAATCCTCCATGATAAGTTCTCACCATTATTAGCTTTAAGAGCTTCAGCTCCTTTTTGTTTATAGCCAAAAATAAGGTCAATCCAGTGGTGTAAATTGCTCGAAACAATATCCGTTTCTAAAGCCGTTCTCAATGTATTTACGAACTGAGTGGAATTCTCAGCCCATGGTGGAAGTTCAACGTCTCCCACTTTTACATTATTGTGCCTAACGCCAAAATTGATTCCGAGACTATTTCGAAGAAACTTGGCTGAAAGACAAATGGAATATTCCGTTCGATATTTCTGGGGAAAAGCGGTCAAATTGTCGTTTTCTCACACATGTGTTTAAAAACACAAGCTAAAGCAAATTAATCTGGAATAATTGCAATAATTGGTGCCCTATTGCTGCTCATAAAAATCATTCACCGTTTGGTTAAGAGCAGTTATTCGAAAGAATATATTTACGTAATCGCCACATACCTTCTTGTGATGTATCGTAAAACTCAGGAATCAGTTCTTTAAAATCTGACATATTATTAAAACAGTTTTTATATGCATCCGCCACCGAATTGAACATTCTATCGGGATGATCAAAGCGTCCACCTTGCATACATAACACGTAATGTGGGTATTGCCGTGCCAAATAATATAATACAAAGCCTGGAGTTGAATAGTGAGATCCGTAAATGAATTTGGGCGGTGCCATTTCATTATAACTGTAATTAAACAATCAAATTCATGTATTAAACGCACAAGATGCAATCATTATTTATTAAGAAATATATTTACTAAAAAATATTATGCGATACAAGCACTGCCTTTTTTCCATGTAAATATTTTTTAATACTTTTTGCGGTTTATAACGGCAACTTAAAGATTGATTCTTCGAGTTATTTACTATTACTTCTAAATAGAGTATCAATACCTGATGAGCATTCTCATCTTTCGTTTATAAAAACCTTCAGGTTTCTTTCGTAACTTAACATGTTTTTTTTTTGTGTTTCTATTCATATAATTACAATTTCTCCAGCTGAAGTCGACGGAAGTATTATAAAAACTAAACCCAAAAATTGCTTGTTCACATTCGAGAAATATTCGGACAAAAACCGCCCGTGCTTAAAAAATTACGAAAAAAGCGAGATTAGGAGTTCGAGGAAGAAAAATATTAAAACAAACTTTTATGAAAATTTAAAAGATAATTTTTAAACTCTTGTGGTATTAGACTCTTGAGGCATTAGATATATTGCGGCTTTCTTCAACTTACCGTGCTAATAAATTTGTCAACCTCTTTGGATTCAAGGCACCCACAGGCTTAGACAAATCTCGATAATTTTGAATATCCGTTAAATCTAAAGTATCACTTGTGTAGTTTGATATGATCCAAGGGAAGACCGGATATTGAGTAAGGTCATTCTCCGTTCTATCACCTAAACTAAAATAATAAAATCAAATAGAGTTAATTCAGATTAAGTTTGAAAAAGGAGACTATTAAATGTTCTAAAAAATTCAGCATGTATTCTTGAAATGTTTTCGAAAAATAAACGAGCTATTTAGTAATCAAGAAAATCACTTTAAAATGTTTTCAAAAACTCATTTTGTAATAACTACGCGTTGCTATATCTATATATA